GATGTTAACATAGCTAAACTCGCTCCCTCTCAGATGTATATATTTTTGTACATTTTGTACTGCAATTATATTTATTGGCATTTTTAATTTTCATTTTGCATCTGTTCTCTATATGTATATAGATGCCTGAAATGATATATAGGAACCAGGAATAAAGAGAACATCTGGAAGTCTTAATGAGCTGTAGAGTTGATACTATTCTTAGAACTTAGAAACTTAAATGAATTTTTATTTCACAAGAATTCACTTGTTGCTTTTGAACTATGCATTCACCCTTGCATTTCTCTTCTTTATGGTCCCTGGTAATACTGTGGCTGAACACTGTGTCCTGATTTCAAGGACTTGATGTGCAATTCAGGTGCCCGGCATTATGCCATGCATACAGTAAGCCTCAGCTAGTTACTGCAAGTGTCGTTAACATTATACTAAGGCAGCCAAGTTGAAAAAGTTAACTTAGAGGACTAAAGCAGTTGGAGATATTTTTAAATATCACAATTCTTCAGGTAAAGGTGGTCTGAGATTGTCAGAGAGGAAAAACGGGTGTTGCATGCCTCATTAGAGCAGTGTTTGTAGGTTTGGTCAAGCTCCAATATTCTTCCAACCGTCATTTTGCCCTCGTGTTTGAGGGCAAAGTTCCAAAGGACAGATTTTCCATCATTTTTTTCTGGAGTCTTGTCAATGGAGCCAACAATAACTAATACAACCTGAAATGCTGCCCTTGCCTTGGCTTTCAGGTTGGAGTTATTATTGCTCTTCAGGTAGCAGAGTATCAGTGAGTACCAATGACTATGTATACTATTAGCTCTTGTGGTTGGAATGAGGTTCACGGGGAATTCTGTCTCCATGGCCTGGAGTGAAGTTACAGACATCTCTTACCTGAGGGTAGCCAGGCTCCTCTTCTCTGTGCCATGGCTAGAATTCGGCATGACTGGTGGTCTTCAGTGGTATCTTATACACAGTAGAACAGTTTTGAGAAATCCGGAAATAAGATTAGTATTGTAAGGTAAGCCTTAGTATGGTGGAAGAGATAAGAATGGGCATCTCGAGAATAGGTTGGAGTCATGGAATATTTTCCCATGTTTCATGAATTATTTCATTGTTTGCCCTGTGGACATATTAAACTAGAAAGCTGAGTTCTCACGCCAATTCTGCATTAACTCTGGTACCATGTGAAAGGCCTTCCCTGGACACAAGAACTACTTTCCTGTAACTTACGGGAAAAGCACCAGGAGGGTTATATACGGGTAAGGAGAAAGAATGCTCTGGAAGTGAGCATTCTCTATTTTTGGAAGTGAGGGGGATACAGCGAAAAGTTGGTCTTTTGTGAAAGAAAGCAAATCCAACTGTAATGGCATCGTCATGCCGCTCTGACTTTGTTACTTTCCTTCTCTTTTCCATGTGGAAGAACTCACCATTTTATTTCTGGATAAGAGTAAATAAGTTTTTCATTATTGCTTTTACTCAGCCAGTACTAAGAGGTAGTAATATCTTTTTATTTCATGGAACCCTAGTATTTCTTATTACATTTATTGGCATGACATTGATTGACAACATTAAATATGTCTCAAGTGCAGGATTCTATAATACATCGTCTGTATACTGCATTGTGTGTTCACCACCCAAAGTTTAGTCTCCTTCCACCAGCACATATTTGAGCACCTTTACCCTCTTCATTGTCCACCAACCCCATTTCCCCTCTGGTAACCACCATACTGTTCTCTCTCTCTGAGTTTGTTTATATCGTTTATTCGTTTGTTGTTTTCTGTGAGGGGGGCTTAAAAGTCAGAATTATCTTCTGGAGGGCAGTCTCCTTGTAGTATAGGCTTCCCCCATTAGGTAAGTATTCTTGAAGATTCTTTCATTGTGTTTGCCCATTTCATGATAGGTGAATTACAAATGCACCTGCTCACACCTCGCTGAGTGTTCAGCAGTTTTTGAACAAAAAGCACATGACCCCCATGCCTCATGGGCCCTCCCTATTCACACGTCATTGCCCCGAGTGACTTTTTTTTCCCTGGGTGAAAAAAGTCATCAAACAGAAAAATTTTTGTCCATGTGGAAGAGGCAAAACAAAATATGGCAGAAGCACTAAAAGGCATCAAAATTGGTCAGTTCAAAACCTGCTTTGAGCAGTGGAAAAAAATGTCTTGATAGGTGTATTGCATTAAATGGAAAGTACTTTGAAGATGGCTGAAGTTTAAACATGTAAGAATAAATACACAATTTTTTATAAATAAATTCCCATTTTGGGGTCCCTCCTTGTATATCCCACATGAGAGAAATCATGTGATTCTTGTCCCTTTCCATCTTATTTTACTTAGCATGATACTCTCAAGATCCATCCATGTTGTTACAAATGACAGTATTTCTTATGGCTGATTTAGTATCCCATTGTATATATGTACCTTATCTTCTTTGCTAATCATCCATTAAAGGACACTTAGGTTATTCCCATTGCTTGGCTACAGTGAATAATGCTGCAATGAACATGGATACACACACACACACACACACACATATATTTACAAATAAATATTTTCAAATATTTCAGGTAAATACCCAGAAGAGGGACTGCTGGGTCATATGGTAGCTCTAGTCTTAATTTTTCTGAAAAAAATTCATACTGTTTCATGGTGGCTGTACCAGTTTGCACTCCCACCAGCAGTGTATAAGGGTTCCTTTTTCTGCACATCCTCTCCCGCACTTTTTAAAATTGATAGTAGGAATTCTCACAGGTGTGAGGTGGTATCCTGTTGCAGGTTTGATTTGCATTTCCCTAATGGTGAAGTTGAGTGTCATTTCATATACCTGTTGGCCAATTTCATGTCTTCTTGGGAAAAGTGTCTGTTCAGGCCCTCTGCCCATTTTTAAATTGAATTATATTTTTGTTGTTGAGTTGTATGAGTTCTTTATGTATTTTGGATATCAGCCCCTATTGGTATTGTTTGCAAATATCTTCTCCCTTTAAGTTGGTTGTCTTTTTGCTTCATTGATGATTTCTTTTGCTGTGCAGAATGGAACCCTAGTATTTTTAAAGCATAAAGGACTTTGGAAATAGTAACTTATTTTATACATGAGAAACTGAACCATCAAAGTAAAGTGAAACCTTAGTTCATTACACTTAGTTCTTTATTTGATGTCCACTCATTAAAATGTTCAGTGCTCGGCTTGCAATGCACCCAATGAGGCACTGTGGGGAGACAAAGATGACCCAGACGCTCCTGCATGATATTAACGAGGTGGAAGGACTTTTATTACAGAGATGCAAGCAAGCTGCTGATTGACAGACAGAGCTATGTGCTGCTCTTGAGTTTGTTCGACATTTCTTTTTCTCCATATCTGTGCTGGGAGAAACAAACAAGCAAACAAACAAACAAAAATAGCAGAGAGTGCTGGTCAAGCCCAAAGCGTTTCATAGTTATTGCTTCCTAGATTTACTATTAAACTAGGAAGCAGTATGTTTTTGAATTAATGGAATACTAGGATAATTAGTTAGGGACTTCTAACAAAAAAAAAAACATTTAGGACTCTAACATTTTCTCCAAAGAAAACAGACATCCGTATACCATTGTTACTTTTCTCTAACATGAGAAAGATTAAGATTCATGAATTAGAGAGAAAATAGTTTGCTCTCAATTAAAAAAAGCAAGAATAATAAAATGAATGAAAATATGAAACCATCTGTGTGTCAACTAATGCCAATTTAATGTTTGTTGTAAACAATACAATTTGTTCAAGTCCATTTTTAAAGGAGGCGCTTTAGTGTACACATGAAAGAAAATTAATACAGTCTTCATTCAAAGATCTTGTATACCACAAAGGCAGCTATATAAGTACAATATATGCATCTTTCCTATATATAAAGGCAATATATGTATACACATATACCCTTCTAACACTGATGTGGTCTCGAGAGGAAGTTTATACCGGCGATCCCCAAATATACCATCCAGTATTTGAACTATCACTTTTACCTGTCACTTTAAAGGCAGTGCAGGCTCTTGTTACCTTTGTTACTAGGAACAATGTGATAGTCACTTCCTATCAGCTCCTGGTATTGGCTCATCCATTCTAGTCTTTGCTGTGTTCAACAGACTAGTTTCCCAATAACATGTCACATTTTCTTGCTAAAAGTTTTCCCAAAGTGGGCACATCCACAGAATACAGGTCCTAACCTGTAACATATAACCCTAATTTCCCACTCTCCTCTTCCATATACTCTGTAAAATGCTTCCTTTTTTCTATGCTGTTTTCCCAGTCCTAGAAACACAGGCCAAGTCTCAGGGGCAGATCAGACCAGCTAATCTCTGTATCACATCGTTGACACCCAACAGTAAATGCAATATAGTTGTGAGTCTATTTTCCCTCCCTAAATGAGTTGGCCAGCTTCTGGAAAAGTGACTAGGAGTATATGGAGAGGGCATTAAATATTAAATATGCCTGGGTTGCTTAATGTAGGATGACCAGGAATAATTCATTTTACACAAATCACAGCGTGTGCCCCTCCGCTCCATCTGAGTGTAAAGCTTTATCAATAATGACTTCCTGTTAGTCTGGGACGCTCAGGACAACACCTTAACTGTGAATACTTATGGTAGGGAGGGGTAAGGTTGTGGGAGTAGGGGGCTACTGAAAGACAAAACCCTTTTCCCTCACTTTTAATTCGGGTCTTCTGTATCAGCTAACTATTTCTTAAGCGCCCGCGTGTGCAAGATGCCAATAATCTGAATTTCTTTTTACTTTCACACACACACAAAAATAACTGCATTCCCTAAGCCAATAAATAACTCACCTGAAGGTCAGGAACGCTCTCCCCACACTCTCAAAAGGGTTGTCTGTGTGGGCTGTGAAGGGAATAGAGGGCCCGGTAGTAATCTATCTAACTGGGCATCCAAAAGCTAACCAGTAATACCAATTGCATCCAGGCGTTGTCTCCTGGATCCCGCCTGACCCCTACGCCAGGATTGAGAAGGCTGTTACTACGTAACAGTCCTAAAGTACGGCGGTGGCCCCCTCCCCCCGCACCCGGGAATCGGAGTCGGGAGGAGCCTGGCTCTCTCTGCGCTGTCTCTGGGCGTGTGCCCCCGCCGCAGCTCCGCTGAGCCTCCGAGTCCCTGCAAAGGGGGGCGGGGAGCCGCGGCGAGCAGCCCGCGTCTGCGGCTTCCTCCCCACGCCCGCGCCTCCCGCGCACAGCCCGGAGGACGTGCGCCGAGCCCGTCCCCACGCAGCCGCGCGCCCGGGCTCCCTGCCCAGCCGAGGTAACTTTTCTGCCTGCCAGAGAGGGGGGATCCGAGGGGGTCTCCCGTTTGCGAGGTGCGGAGGATAAGCCGGAGGCCGGGGTCAAGGGCTAGTAGCTGTGCCCCTGCCGCGTGGCCCCCTGCCGCTGGGTCGCCCGAATCGTCGGAGCGCAGATCTGCCGCGCCGACCCGGACCCCGCCCGACCGCTGGGACCCTCGCCGGGCCGAGCCCCTGCGCTGAGCCGCGCGCCGGGGAACACACCCGCTCCGCCCGCCGCCGCGCTGCAGCATTTGCTGGGCCGGCTCGCCGAGCCGGAGCGCCGGCCTCTGGCCTCCGGCCTGGGGGTGGGGGGGTTCTCTTGGGAAGCCCTCTCCGAAAAGGAGGACACGGTCCTCGCGTCGTTGCTCGGTCAATTTGCCTAAATCCCCCGTTCGGGGCGCCATGTTTTAAGTTACCCCTTGGGGTGGGGGCGAGGGCTGGGCAGACTGCGCAGCGAGCGCTGGGGACGGGAGGGGTACGACGAGGCGGGGCCGCCGGGCGCGGGGGCCGCTGGAGGCCCCCCCCCCCCATGCGATGTGGCTGCGGCCCGTCCCGAGTGTCTGGCGCGGGGCTAAGGTGCGCTCCGCACAAAGCATCCCCGCTCGGGAGCGGGCCGGCGCTTTTATGTAACTTGTCTCCTTCCCTGAACTGGGGCAGCGCACCTCAGACGGCGGCGGGGGCTGCAGTCCGGCTGCGGGGGAGGAGGAGGAGGGAGCGTCCTGTAGACGCTGTTCCGAACCCGGGCACCTGCGGGTCTACCTGGCCCCGGCCCTCGCTCCCCTCGCCCCCTCCCCCAACCCCGCGCGGGGAGCCGAGGCGCCGGGAGCAGCAGGGCACACCTGGCGCCCGCGGGACTGCGAGCCGCCCGTGGTGGTGTCTGCGAGAGCGGCTCTGCGGCGGGTGGGGGCAGGGAGGCCCGGGCTTCAGTCCGCGGGAGTCGCGGTCTCAGCCAATTTCTGGCGGGGGTTTCCTGGCTCCTGCCGCGGGGGCTTGCTTTCCCGGATTCCCCATCTAATCTCGCCCTACTTCTTCCCCTCCCCCCTCTCCCTTTTCCATCCCCCCCCCCCCAGCCAAGTTCATGGCTTCTGCAATGCGGTGGGTGTGGTTACCTAGTAAATTGTAACTGTGGTCCTTTGCAGTGGGAGCGTTCTTTTTTGTTTTTTTATATTTACAGATACAAAGTTTTCTAGTGTTTTCTTCTCCAGTTGGCAGTCCCGGATTGAAGTTGGGAAGAAATTGTTGCAGAACGAATAGAATGATAAAGAAAACATGTGTTATTAATTACTCTTGGAGGCTGAGCTGAGAAATCCTGAGAGGGCCAAGCAGTCCTGCTAATGCAGTGCTTCCATTACGTGCTTAAGTTGGTGTTTCAGCTTTTTTTTTTTTTAAATTGGTCTTGTGGAATTACTTTTGCAGACATCCTGCTTGTCCTTTCTGGGGTCCATTTGTAGGCTTTCTGACGTGACCAGGTGTGGTGGAGTTTTTCTTGCTGGCATTAATTTCCCTAAGTGGAAGAGTCATCACGCCAAATGTTAAAAACGTTCTTTTTGAACTTTACACTGGTTTTTAAAGTCTCAGAGAAGCTAAAAAGATAAAACTCTACTTATATTTGAGAGCCCTGGACGTACTATCAATTACTGCAAATTAGAAAAGCCTTATTAAGAAAAGGGAACACATCAAGCTTGAATGAACTCTGGGGAATGGGAGGTGATTTATGTCTTGGCTCAGACAAGGTTTTTTTAAAGATGCATGTTAATTTTGTTATCAAAGCTTCAAAACTGTTTGGAATAACAAAGTTACTGTGAGAAGAAATAAATTATAAATTAGAAGGCATTAATAAAAATAAAATAGCAGATCATTAATAGCACAATAATTTGCATTATTATGTTCTGATGGTTTAGAAAAAGAACATGTAAGATGCACAAGTTACTGCATAAAATTTAGCCAGTACACTTCAGGCAAATATATTTTTTGCAAATAGAACATGTTTTGTGAATGACGTATCAGTAACAAGAAGAGTAGTCACTTGACTTAATTCATAAATCCCTTTTAGGTGAAGGTTTGGGAAGATACAGGTCAAAGGTCAGTATCTCTGACATATTTTTCTTTAATTTTTAAGTGATTTTTTTTTCTGTGTAAAAGCCATCTGGGTTAAAAGCTGTTTTTGTCAACTCTCATACAGTGCTTGGACTTTGACCAGCTTTGAATCATGTTGCAATAGGAGATCAGGGATATTTTTTTTACTTCATTAGATGCTATTTTATACGTGCATTGTTTTTTTGAAATTGGTTGGTCAACTGCATTAAGGGACTGCCCAGGTGGGAGAGAGGCGGTCCCTTCATGTACTGAGAGATATGATGTTGCCGTTATTTTAGGAATCCATCTAGATTTACTGTATGATGGATTAAGTATGCTGGAGCATGCTGTCTAAGAGATTTTTTTTACATTTTTTCCTAACTTTTTAACAAATTTTTTCCGAGGACATGCTTATTGATTTTAGAGAGAAGGGAAGGGAGGGACAGAGAGAGAGAGGGATGGAACCCCACACCTGGGTATGAGCCCTGATTGAAACCTGGGATCTTTTGGTGTCTGGGATGACGCTTCAACCAACTGAGCCACACCAGCCAGGGCTTTCTTACATGTTGTAACATAAACATTCATCTTTTAAATTAGTGCTTTAAAAAAGTCATAAAATTCACAAATTAGAATTCATGTCCTCTTCAGTAAAATAGAACTCTTAAGAATGGGCTGAAAAAATAAATGTTTCTTTTCCGTGAGAATTCGACTGTAACAAAGAGAGAGATTTCATAAGTACTCTACTACCCAGGTCATCTTTAGTTTCTTTAGTCTCTTCCAAGTATCCAACCAGTTTTCCTCTGAATGTCAGCTTTATTTTGACTTACTATAGAAATTTTAGGCTTGCTATAAAAACCATGAGTCAATTTATCTTTAGCACCACTTCATTTAGAGAGATCTTTAATGGTGGAATTGCTGCATCTATTCCTCTCAGAAGGCCATCTAGCGGTTATTTTGTTGAGAATTCATCAGATGCTCCCGGAGGGTTCTGCTGTCATTTGATTTGCCTTGGCTGCAAAGAATTGTGTGCTCACAAGAAAGCCCCGGAGCAGTGAAGTCATTGCCCTGCCCAGTGTTGTGACATCACTGTGGCTCAAAGGAAACAAGGGTGGGGCAGACCAAACCAGATGGTCTGAAGCATCTTGCTGGTTTTAACTTTGCCTGATAAGTGAATGAGACTGTCCTTTCTCACACTGAAGCGAGCCATAAGGTATTGTTTGGAGAACTGGAAGGTAGACATGAATGAATGGAAAGTATGGTGATTGGGTTTTCTTGTTGTTGTGTTGGTGCAATAGTAGAAATCATTGAATGTGCCTTTTATTGAGGAAAATGCTGTAATTTTTTTACAAGGGCTATGTAAAAACTTTCTTAAAAACAAGGATAACGAGTGTGTTATTTTATGCATAGACTCAATATATTTTAACAAAATAGCATTCTTGCTATATTCTTGGTTTAGATTGTTGGCGTTGTCTTTTAAAAGTATTTGGTGCCTATAATGATAGTTTATCTTCTGTGTAGACAGTGTTCTTTCTGATTTATTTTTCAGGGATGTGATTGCAACTGGTAATTAGGAAAAATAGAAAAACCTACAGATTTATAAGTTTAGAAGATACCTGCAGTGATTGGGGGCAATTGATTTCTATTTAAGTTTTTGTTTTTATTTGCAAAATATTTTACAATTTAGCATTTTAGTCCTACCTTAGAATTCTAGTGCAAGATCATCATAGACACTTTTCATCCAAATTAGTGATGAATAAATTATAAGAGGAGGTCTGAATTCTGAAACTGTAAAGTACATTTTATAAACATAATTGATTTCTGAATCTAATGTGCTGTCAGCATAAAGAAAGGAATAACCAGAGTAGCTGAAGCTTTCACTGAGTTTGCTGTATCTCCTTGGTAAGATGACTCTCATTTTTTTCATGGGTTTTATGTATGGGAGCTCTTGCAGTTCTTACTTAATTGTGTAACTGTTCCAGAATACATTTCCAAACCAAAGGGAAGGCAAAAAAAAAAAAAAAAGGCATGAAAAGAGAAGTTGAAATTAGGTACCAGAACTGTGGAAGGGTTGGTTGAAATGTCTTCGGTACTGCATTTTTAGACCTTGCCATGATTGCTTAAATGGCACACTTTAGAATCGTAAGCTTCTATTAGCACCAAGCCCCCAATTATTTTGTAATTTGCAGTACAGAGTAAAAGCTGACAACTTAATTTTTAGATTGCTGACATTCTGATACATTGTTCTTATAGCCCTTTCTTACAAACTTAAAAAAAAAAGAAAAAGCAGCAGAAAGGTCTGTATTAGATCTAGAAAACAAACTAGACATGCTATTTAAACTGCCTCATGTGTTTGTTTTTCTCTCCAGTTACACTGAGTGATTGCTTGATGTGAGTAGGAGCCTGCTTCTCTTGGAGTTTCACCCCCAAACCATGTACAGGTCTAAACACAGCATTGAGTAAATATTTAAGGAATTGAATAAAAAATGAGGCCTTTAAGTGACTTACCCTTCACTACAAAAAAACAAACATTTGAAAAGTCTTCAAAAGCCTTGCTGCTTTATTGAAGAATGAGAAGTACTGGACTCATGTATGTAGTCATTATTTTTAATGACTCTTCATTACAAGCTTGCTACTCTGTCCATAGGTCAGATTAGGTAGGTTCTGAAGGTTTTACCACATCAGAGAAGAGAATGCTGCAGGTACCAAGAGAAAAAAAGAACGGCTTTTTGAAGGGAGCTCTGCAGGGTACCTCCTTCCCTCCCGCCAGTTGGACAATAATTGCTGTCATGGAGGACGTCAGTGCAGAGGCACTACTCAGAGGAGGAGGGGGATCAGACCGCAGTGTGACCAAAGCTGAAGATGAGTTAGGGCTAGATGATGATATTGCTCCTGATGTTGAACTAAA